ATTGGATGGTGGAAAGTGGAACATTTCCAAGAGTATGTGAACCAACTGTATTAAAGATTTATAGATGAATAAAAAGCAATGCTGGCTCCGACTCATTGGCAACAATGGCCAGCCGACCTTTTGGAAGATGGCAGTGGCACATACTGAAAGGATAAACAGTTAGGGCTGAGCGAGAGACAGCTCCCAATGATTTTAATCTAGAGTCGCTAGCTTTTCCATATATTAGACACAAGCAATCCAAAACAGATAAAACTAACAATGATAGACCTGCGCCAAATCCAATTCTCCATCCTGTGCTCCTTGGATGGTCCCCTATCCCAATTTGGGAAGTTGTTATTTCAACTTTGGTGCATTCATTTGCTTTAAGTTGCAATTGGTGAAGAAAATGGATCTGACAAAGTGTTTTTTGGTCGACCCCGGGAAAGGGGCACAGATGCCAGATTCTATCCCTAACCCTAACCAGATTCTAACCCTAACTCTATTCTAACCCTCTCTATGTTAAAAAAAGTGAAACATTATTTGTGTATGGCTTCTTTCATTGTGTAAAGCTACAAACTTCCACCATAAAATCAGGACAGTAGTTTTTGTTCTCAGTTTCGTAAATAGAGTTTTAATATGAAGCTTAAAGTTATTATTGTCCAGCCAGATAAGGTCATTCTACTATGGCACATTTTCTATGGATAATGCCATTAGCAGAATGTATGTCAAATGTTTTTGCATGATTATCCCCAATGAAGAGAATCCATTTGTTTTTGTCTGAGTTTAGCACCAACTTGTGTTTAGGTACCTCGTTATTCACTCAATACAACACAATCACATAAACCATATTACATGTTCAAGCATCGCACATGGTCTTTTACTCAATTCCCAGTGACATTTCTTCAAAAAGCAAGGTGTTAAAATAAATGGACTTGGCTGTTAAGTGACCGTTTATTTTGGCCTACTAAGTGTTCTCTGGACCAGCGTGTTCACTTTCCATCCTCCATCCAAACTTAGTTCAGTGACCATCTTAAACCACTAACTTTAAATGTGGACCAAGTTCATTCAAACCAGATGTCATAGTTACCTTTAGAGGAAGGTAAGTGCTAATCTCCCCTGAACATGTGACCCACAGATGATATGCATCTAAATCTCTAAAGCATTACTTTATAGAAAGAATTGTTATCTTAATTGTGTGCTTTATAGATGTCATTACAGAATGCAGTTGTACTGTACTGTTTTCATTGTGGACATCTACCCAGGCCAACAACACCAGGTTGAGGCTGTCTCTTTCAAGTCTCAGGTTTCTTTACTAAAACAGGAAAACTGCACGGTGAAATGAACACATCCACAGACCTTGACAAATGTTTTAGTTTAATGAGGCATGTTTCCACCCAAAGTCTGACCTATTTCCATGTTTTGATTCCAGGGAGGTTGCACAATGAACCTGATGAATAGTTGTGTGTATAATCAAGAGCATTCTAGCAGAATTCTCTTTTACTGTCCTCTCACTTTGTGGAACTAGAAGAAGTTTCCTGTACGTTACCTCACTTACCCTCTGAACATCTCGAATTCAGGTTCATGTAAACCATGTCAGTGCTTTAATCACTGTACATTCTATTTAATCATGCATTGGCTCAGTTTTAGTAATGTGATTACATGATTGTATCAAGGTTTGGCAGCATGGGATGTTTAGCATTAACATTCAAAATAATGTAGAGGAAGTTCTTTGAGGCTGCACTGAGGCACATTGGTGTTTTGAGCTAAATGCTAACATCAACCTGCTAACTTTTAAAATGCTATAATTTGTCAATCATCGGAACATTATTTGGCGTTTCTTTGAATTATTGGTGAATATTTATCATTATTATTTCTGAATGTGTTTGCGTTCTGGACTGTTGGTAGTACAGTGTGGTTGTCATTATTATACCCTTTGTGGGCTGGTTCATCAATAAGGAATGAACAGTTTGTTGGAGGCTCTAAACTTATTCAATAAAAACAGGGCAGTTTATCCTAAGGGTAGCATGAATGTAGGGACTACATTTTAACGGCAATCCATCCAATAATTGTGGAGATATTTCAGTCCTGACCAAAAATGTAAAGCCTAAATGTTGGCCTAGAGAGAGATCAGCTGTGTTCTTAGCAGTCTATAAATCTGTGCAACAGCCTTTCCCCCGCTATATGTAACCCCCCCCCCACTGAGACGTGCAGCTACACAAACATTTCTCCAAGATCTCAACTCTCTGCTGGCACAGTAATCCACCGAGCCAGCCCTCATCCTCCCAGTATCCCGAAATATCAAACAGTAATCACAACTTAATGGAGTGTGGACGCGCTCCAGGTGCAGGTTCGCACACGAGCAGCATTAAGAGACACAAGTGTTGTACACACAGATTTAAATAAACACAGCTGTGGAAGAACAATGGCTGTTTATGATCAGAATCACATAGAATCGACCCCCACAGGAACGCCTCTCATTTACTAAAGGAACCCCCCTTTCTCCACATACTATTTCAATAAAGACATCATAAAAAAACAGCTTTGCATCCTGACTAATAATGTTTTTCCTTTTTTTAACTATCTTATTCCCTCCCCCATTTCCTTCGGTTTTTTCCCTGTCTTTTATTCAACTTGTCTTCCCTTCCCTCTCTAATGAGTGCAGTTGGACTCAGTTGAAAGAAAGTATTTCTTGGGCCTCCTTTCTTGATCTGCTCCCTTTAAGTGTTTTTCTTGTGTGTAATGCTTTGTCTGACACACATCATCATCAGGTATGAATCAGAACCGTAGCATTACATTTAACTGTACCAGTGTGTGACAAGCTAATGGTAGCATGCTGTTTCTACAACTCTTTGACACACACACACACTTGACGTTTTACCGTGACAGAGACAGACGCTCTCTCTTTGACACGCTCCCATTCTCCTTCAGTCATCCTCCTCCCTTCATCATCGGTGTCATTACTGTGCCCCTGCCCCCCCATTATAACCATTAGGGTATGCTTATTTGGCCCCGGACCCCCCTTTGAGGATCAGGTTCCATAGTAACCTGGCCCGTCTCCACAGTAACCCGGCCCATCTCTGGAGGAATGCGGCATTTCCCGCTCTTTTGTCAAGGGCCACGTTTTGAGTGCCGCTGTAGGGCCAGATTGAGTTGCACCGGGTTTCATAAGGTGTGTGTGTGTGTGTGTGTGTGTGTGTGTGTGTGTGTGTGTGTGTGTGTGTGTGTGTGTGTGTGTGTGTGTGTGTGTGTGTGTGTGTGTGTGTGTGTGTGTGTGTGTGTGTGTGGTGTGTGTGTGTGTGTGTGTGTGTTGTGTGTGTGTGTGTGTGTGTGTGTGTGTGTGTGTGTGTGTGTGTGTGTGTGTGTGTGTGTGTGTGTGTGTGTGTGTGTGTGTGTGTGTGTGTGTGTGTGTGTGTGTGTGTGTGTGTGTGTTAAACTAATTGAGTTGGCTGTCAAAGCAGGGTCTGTGTGGAGCAATACTGTAGGGAGGAGCACAGCTTTAGAATGGCATTGGGTTACTCTATAGCTGCCCTGCCTCATGGACAATACTTGTGTTTCAGAGGAAGTGTGTGTGTGTGTGTGTTTATCACTCTATGAGACTGTATGTTCACAGGTGGTGGGGTTGGCACGGACATGGGCATTTCCAAACAGACACTGACGCAGCCTTTCCTATAAAAGTGAAAATAGAAAGGAACACAGGAGCCCGGCCTGTTGTCCGCTGCACAAAGCCGCTGTGTGTCTGTGTGTGTGTGTGTGTTTTGTTGGACTGGACAGTGGACACGTCTGAAGAAATTAAGCCGCTGGGATTTCATTATATAAACTTGATGAAGATGTTGTTTTAACGTACATCGCCAGACATAATAGAGCCAAAATAAGCGAAAACGTTATTAATCCTGAATGGAAGCAGGTGCGATGTATTATAGTTTTCCCAAAAGGTAGGCCAGACTTCACATTATCGCAATAGCCTTGCTCTGCTGTATGTTCATGTGACGCCATTTAGTTCAGACAGTTGGAAGTGAAAGTGTCTTGGAAATGTCACACATTGGACCCGTCCAGGGGGGTTGCATTGGAGACTTTTAGTGACAATGTACTCTGAATAATTACACTGGTTTAAATGGCCTTTGCAATAAGTAAACTTAGAGTATACTTTAAAATATATAGTCTTTGATATCGTTAAAAGGCAAAGATTTAAAGATGTGCAGTGTCAACAAAATAATGCTAAAATAACATTAATGCATAACAGAAATTATTCTTAATGAATACAGGAGATTTTTACTGTTTGCAATCTTTCATAAGTTTGTTTTCAACTTTTGTTCCGAAAAAGTTAAGATTCTCAAAAATGTGTAACACAAGTGTTGCCAGAACACTTCCTATGCTGATGTGGATGTCTAAACTGCCTCTGATTTCAGCACTGTATAATTATCATTATAAGCGCTCATAAATGTTCATATTGCTTCATAACAATAATCCTAAACATAACTACACAGCATATTATAAAGCATTTCATCATTACATATACGATTTCAGGGTTATAATGCTTCATAACTGTTAACCAATTATTCTTATTTTGCAAGGATCATTGTGTATTATAATTTTACATACTTGTAATGCATTATTATATTGTTTTAATGCTTTAGAATGTCATTATCAGTTACAGTAAGTTGTCATTGTTTGCAATAAATTATGAGAAAAATATCTTTAAATCTATGCAAGAACAACATGTAAACATAAAAAATGTATTTTAGCGATGACAACTTGGAGTATTATTGCATCATATTCAAATGGATGATAAACATGTCAGTATGGGACCAGCAATTATGAAGTTGACCTTATAAGTCATTATAAAAAATGTATAGTCTGTTATGACAATTCATAAAGCATTTTGAGCTACTAACTGTAGGTGTAAGCAAATTATAACACATACGTTTTCTTTGGATGCATTATAGACACAGATACCGAAGCATGCCATAAATAACTAACCACCTCCTGCAGATCGCTAACACTCAGCTGTGTGTGCTTCTCAGATTCAGAGGTCAGTGATCTCCGTCAGGACGCTCTCTCCGTCATCATGGCCTCAGACCTCGTCCCCTCCTCCCCCCCCCTGGGGCCCGGCAGCACCCAGTGCCTGCTCTGCCTGGCTCAGGTGGCCCTCAGTGCCAGCGTGGAGATCCCTGAGCTGTGGGGGGGCCCTCAGTTGAAGAGCCAGCTCCTTCAGTGCCTCCTTAAGGCACCGCAGTATGAGGTGAGGGAGCTCGCTCTGGAGGGGGTCCTGAGGAGGCTGCAGGAGGAAGAGGAGGATGAGGAGGATGAGGAGGAGAGGGGGCATCAGTGGCTGGACCAGACCACCCTGTCCAACCTGACCAGCCTGGCTCTTCACGAGACACACCCCCAGTGTCTGGCTAAGGTGAGACCACACACACACACGTTTCTTTGTTGTGTGTTTGTTGGAAAGCTTGTCGGGTCACTTTATGGAAGTGTGTGTGTATATAAACTTGTTCGTGCCTGTGTGTGAATCTGGGACAAGCCTTAAAGGCCCCTACACACCGGGCCGATTTTCGGCATCGATAGATGTCTGGCCGTCGATGAGCGTTGTGTTACCCTACTCAGATTGGTGTGTCCCGCACCGTCGTGTCTTTTCGCCGGTAGGCTGTCGGTAAAAGGCCGTCGGCTAAAGAAATCACTCTGATTGGCTGTTCAGCTTAGCGAATCAGTGCATGAGAAGCGAAACGGAAGTGAGGGACCCAAACAAACTATTAAGAAGGCAAATCTGAGATTTCATTTAAGTGAAAATGGAACGCACACGCTATTTGTTGTTTGTTTATATCACGCAGTCTGTTCTTCTTCTCTCGGTGTATCACGCAGTCTGTCTTCCGGTTGTTGCCTCTTTTGAATGACGAATACACACTACCGCCGCCTGCTGGTAAGGAGAGTTATTGCCACTCTCGCATGCGCAGTTCGTACGTGCTACTTGGCCGTCGGCTGAAGTCTTTGCGGTGTGTTCCAGTGCGACTGTTGGCCAAGACGCAGGAGACGTGAGGCGACACAACAGTCGGGTCCGTCGGGACGTGTTCTTTGGTGTCAGATTGGTGTGTAGGGGCCTTAAGAGAAACAAAACGAGAAACCCTTTTCCAAAAAAATAAGTTTTTCCTATTCATCCCTGTTCCACTGAACCACAGGGACATTCGCAGCAAATTGATTAAACGTCCAAATCCATCTCGCAGAGGCTTGCGTGAAAGGCTAATCAGCCGCAGGGGGAAACGCCAAGCTGGCAGTGAGCTGGCTCTCTCCCTGTCTCACTCTGTCTCACTTACACTAAGGAGAGGTTTGGTAGGCTTCCTCTCTTACCAGGGCTTTGGATGAGTCCTATTTCCTGTTTGGTGACAGAGGGTTGTATTTCAGTGGGTTCTTAAAGCGAGGACAGGCAGATCGGCTCTGTTGCTCCTGTTGTAAATATGACTCAGCACTGCAGGGACTGTATGTGTGTGTGACTATAGTGTGTGTTTTTTATGTGTTTTAAGGTTCTTTGTGTGCATGTATGTGTTTGGTTGTCCATTGTTTGCCAGCTTCACAGGCCAGCCGTTAATGTTTAAAGTGTCGGCCCTGTTAAAGCGGAGCCTCCCCATGCGCCAAGGACACACTAACACAACGGGCCGGTTGTCATAGCAATGAAGCATTCTGGGAGAGGAGCAGGGGCAGCAGTAGGACAAGGACAATTGGTTTGCTACTCTGTTTTCAAAGTCTGAAGGAGACTGTTATCTTTATGTTTTTCTGCAAGCCGAGACAGAAGTTAGTTTCGTAAGCTCCCCTCGACAACAAAATATCTTTTCCATTAGATTTGCAACATTGTAGAAAAAAGGATCTTTGGAAAACACACATAAATGCAATCCCCAGATGTAAAAAGCTTAAGGAATATACTTTAAACGAATAACATCACGGTCGCATGACTTCACGTCACCATCGCTAAGCTAAAGGAGGCTAATGTTCCGGGTCATTTAGCCACTTATTAGCAACCAATGTTTTAAACACACGTGAAAGCTTCAGACGTTCTCCAGTGCCTGTTAACTGAGGTATTTTATGGTGATCAACAAAACGGGAAAATCTTGTAAGTTTGTTTTAAACTGCAGTCCTAATTTGGGGAATCTAATCAAAAAGTAATTTTTTTTAAGTACTTTGAGATGAGGGAACCTGAAGTGCTAAAATGGTAACTCATTTCTGGTTCCAAAAGAGGCGTCATTTGGGAAAGAGTGTAGCTTTAAAGCCTTGTCATGTTCTAAGGCTGTCAAAATGGCCAAAAGTTAGGTTAAAATGATCTATTCAATTATCTCTTTTTACGCATTATGGCTATGACACCTGGTCTTATAAGCTCTTACATGCACAGAGCGCAGGGCGTATTGACGAAGTTTAAGAAAGTAAACAAAATACAGACAATTAAGAAAGACAAAACATGTATGATACGGCTGATTCTCATTTCACAACAAGAACCCTCAAAAAGTGTGTTGGATGGACATCACCAGGCAGCTGAGAGTTTCCTACTTGCTGTTGGCTAAATTGAATGTCATTTCACAAAATAAACCATGTGTTTTCTCTTTAAAAAGTAAAAACATAGGAAAGTGCTACATTTCATTTCAATTTCAATTACTGAAAAGGATGAGTTGTCATGCGCTGCGTTCACTGCTCACACGGAAGAAAGCTGTTTGTTTTTTCACCGTCACACATTTTTTTTTATTTTCCGACGTCTTTTTTTGTATCTTGAACATTCTGTCCCTTGCTTTAACTGCTGGTTATCTCTTGGATTTAATTTACAAGGCTTACGTGTGTGCTTATTTAGGAAATAGGAGGCCTGTGGAAGAGATTGCGTGATGGTACTGAGAGAAACTGTGACTGGGGCAGGTGATGTCGTCAGGTCCCTTTGCTGTAAAACTTTAAAAAAACTTTTTACACAATTTGCGGCTTGGAATCATTATGATTTTTTGACATTTGAATAAAACTAAAAATCTCTTTCATGGTTTGGCTTTGGGTCTGCGTTGGCCCAGAGATGACAGTTAACACCACCAGTGAAAAGCAGCAACACCTTGAGGCTGTCCTTAAAGGCTAGACTAAGCTGCCGTGCATGCTGGGTAACTTTTTCTATTTGTTAACGTCTTAGTGTGTGCGTCTGTTCATGCAGGGTGGGCATCACTGTTTATTTGCATGTTACAGCTATGAAAGTCTGTACGCGTCCTCGCCTGAGTTGGCATGTTTTCCTGTGACTGTGTATATTTGAGTATGCGGGCAGCCGAGTGTGTTGCAGGACGGGAGCTCATTAAAGCAGCTTGTTAAAGTCAGAAGCAGCAGAGTTGGTCGGAGCAGCTGCGTTGGAGCTCGCACTCGTAATACCTGGCACACAGACACACACAGGATTTAAAGTCGTGCAATAAAGACAGAGAAATTCAGTGGCTGAATGAATAAGGACACTGGCTTGGCATGAGCGCTCCAGTGATTGATTCATTCTCAGTGGAGTTGAGAGTAGCCAATGGACTTTGGGAAATATTGCCTAAAAAAAGACACCACAAGTGTAATGGGCTGCTGTGGTTTTTTGGATTACTTGATGGTGCATTAGAAAATGTTCAAATGACTTGTCTACAATGGTATGAATAATGGACATTAGCTGTGTTTTAACACTATAGACTTATGTCAGCAAGTATAGGCGAACTGTCTTTAGCCGATGCATTTGCAGGATGCTTAAAGTTGCATTAATGGAAATGGAAAAACACAACATTAACATCAAATCAAATAATAAAGTTGTTGCATTCAACCTGAAGGGATTAGGTTTAGTATTCTCAGTTGTTAGCAGGCACAGTTTTGATGTCACAGTGGGTTATTTACTGACTTAATTTATGTCATAGACCAAAACATTAAAATCTCTTAATCTTGTGTTAACCACCACGCCTCATTTTAGGCCTTTAATCAAAAACCAGTTCTCAAACTTCCAGACGAGGGAATAGCCGTGTTTTTATACAAGTTATTGTTATTGTTTGTTTAATCTAATGATGATAAACACTTTGTATTGATATGAGCCATTCAGAGTCAGTCAGAACAACACACCAGCAGGTAGGAGGTCCCTTTTTACTGCTACACATTTTTACTTTTTACACATTCACAAATATACAGTCACACACACATGTTTACACACAGACATTGCATGCGCCCGCTCGCCCAGCTCTCCACCCACACAGATCCTATAAAGTAAGCTTTATTTTAAAGCTCTAATAACAGTTTGGGGCCTTGAAAGAAATAATAATCATTGAGATATGCAGCAGGAATGTCAACATGTGTTCTCGGCTGGATGTGTGTTTTTAACGGGGCCTCACGCGGTGGAAAACTCGACTTTTCCTCCTCTGACTCGGTCAGCTGCCTCGCTCTCTGAAGGAGTGACGGAGCATGGAGAGGATGGAGAGGAGGGGGGGGGGGGGCAGTGAGGAGTGAAGGAAGCAGAAAATCGAGTTAAGGAGGTAAACGCGTGACACTCCAGGCAAACAAATCATTTTCATGCATTGGTCAGTTTTTGAGAGTTTGGGCTATTTTGCTTTCATAACATGTTTTCTTTCAGACTCGTGGAAATAAAGCATTCAAATGACACATTTAGATGTTTACTTCACTTGTGTCTGTAGATTCCTCCTACATTCACCCAAACTTACATCATTTCTCATGTACGATACGATACGATACGATATTACTTTATTTGTCAGATCAAGTCTGAAATTTGACTTGCGTCACAGCAGCTCCATGTCCAACATCAACAGACAAATATCCAGACACAAATACATGAAACACAAACATTTAACATAACACATAATCACAATCAGTGAGAGAAAAGCTGCTCAAAGAGCCTTCAGCGTGCATTTGATCTGGGATCAGCTCTGTGTTTACTGAGAGGATTGGCTGATGCACAAACGAGTGCTTCAGTCTGACCTTATTGAATCGTGGGACCCTGTATCTCCGATTAGATGGTAGCAGTTCATATTCACTGTTCAGAACATGCTTTGGGTCAGAGATGATGTTGTTGGTCATGTGCATGTTTTTGCAGAACACTTCATATCAAATGGTCTTTGTATAAGTAATGAAGTGGAGTTTCCTGATGATATGTATTACTTTTAAGAAATCTTTAATCATCTGTGAAGCATTGCAAAATGTATGGAATTTTACAGTGGTTTTTATATTGTGAGAAGTTTGTTTGTATATCATTCACAGCCAGATTTATAGAACATGTTATTCATAAAAACATAAAAAAATAAATGTTGATTTGGCTGTTGATCATATTTTCTAATGGAAAAGAGCGACACAAAGATATATCCAAAGCCTAGAACCAAACATCCCTCATTACGGTTGACTCTAAAAGGTTAACAAAATGAAACAATCATTTTAAACCTGCTTTTATCGAATGCTTACATTTTTTGTCCTGGTATGCATGACAAATTTCATATATTTTATTTTGTGTATTCTATAGATATAGATATATATATACTTATATACTTCCGTATTTACTTCCCTGGACATAATGACATCACTATGTAACACTTGTAATCAGAGCAGACTGGGCTCTGGTTTCAGACAGAGGGTGAAAAGAGGTGCTGTAACACAGGCAGTATGAGAAGAATGAAGACCTTTTTGAACATTAAAGCATGGAGACATGTCCCAGTAGAGACACTACATACTGATATGAACCTGAAAATAAGTATAATGGGGCCCTTTAAACTGAATGGTGTCAACAAAAGACGAGGCCTAGATTATTCCCTCAATGAACGATGGAGATATAAATGAAAGCTCACTTGCTATGCTGTACATCTTCACATACACCCATGTGCTTTTGCACCCATCTTCATGCATGTGTTTGTGTTGCAGTGTGTGTGAAAGAGAGAGCGAGGCAGCTGTGTACCCGTGGTTAGGGTGTGCGTAGGGAGGATCTGACCGGTGTGTAAAAATACCCTCCAGGGCAACTTGCCAGCCGCGCTGCAGAGAGGACACCAAAGCTGTGTTGATGGATGGCCCTGAGCAACTTCCTCACCAGTAGCTCTGAGTGTGTGTGGGATGGAGGTGAACAACAGTGACTGCATTCATATCTTCTTACTCCTTTTGACAGTCTCTTTGTCTCTTTCCTCCTCTCAGGTCCTCTCTGTGTTGTGTGTGTTGAGCACCACCACTGAGCTCCCATGGTCGGATGGTGTTAAGATGTTGTCCCAGGAGGAGCTCCTGCTGCACCTTCTTGCTCTGGCTCAGAACTCCACTCACAGGTCAGAGAAGACACATATACATGTCCGTGTACAAATAATCCTGATGTTTCCTCTGTTTGGGCCAAAGCATTAGACAGTTATTGCCTTATTCCAGCAGCTAGAGTTCACATAGCGAACATTCAAAGCATTGGAAACTGCGCACACAGAGTTCTGACTTATATTTATTTTAAAGAATATGATGCTTGTAATGACTTCTCCCCCCCCCCAAAAGTCAAACTAATTCAACCTTATTTATAAAGCATGCAACTCACTGTGCTTTATATCAAATTGACATATAATAATAAAACAAGTGCAGAATGTACAAGAGGAAAAAAGACACACTTCCACAAGTTCACAGAAATACACACCCTTACCCACACATAAATACACTTTGAAAGAGCATTGCTTTAAAACTGCTTTTGAAGGTCTAAATACCTTCTACTCAGGGCATAAATACAGGAGAAAGTAGCAGAATGTTACAACCAATCCTTGATTTGATAGGGAAGGATTGCAGAATTCACGTGTAATGTGCTTATAGGTTTTACTTCCAGGAAAAACACTTGCAGAAGCATTTAGAATTAGCACAGCTGAGATTGGGATGCTGGTGAATACAGACCATTACATTAGTGTAGTCTGCCTTTAATAGATCATTTCATTCATTTCTCAGAGTAGGATTTGAGAAAGCTGATCTTGTGAGATGATTACAGTAATATGGCTTTTGAAGTTTAGATCGCTGTCTATGATGACCCAGATTTCTGGACTTGCTAATCACAAGGAAGCCTGTCTCTGAAGCATATCCTTCTTTATCATCAATTTAACTCAAAATGGGACCAATATGATCATTATGATTTATCGAAGGAGACTTAACACTAGCCATTGGTACCAAAACATCCTTATAACAATCTGTACTGAGGTAATAAATAGGTGAGAAGTATGGTAGTTTTCTCATAGACTTCTATACAATCAGACATCTACACTCACCAGCCACTTTATTAGGTACAGCTTGCTAGTACCGAGTTGGACCCCCTTTTGCCTTCAGAACTTTTTTGGTCCATATTGACATGATAGCATCACGCAGCTGCTGCTGATTTGTCGGCTGCACATCCATGATGCCAATCTCCCGTTCCACCACATCCCAAAGGTGCTCTATAGGATTGAGATCTGGTGACTGTGGAGGCCATTTGAACATTGTCATGTTCAAGAAACCAGTTTGAGATGATTTGAGCTTTTTGACATGGCATCCTGCTGGAAGTAGCCATCAGAGGATGCATACAATGTGGTCAGAAACAATACTCAGATAGGCTGTGGTTTTTAAACAATGCTCAATTGGTACCAAGGGGCCCAAAGTATGCCAAGAAAATATATCCCCCAAACCATTAACCACCACCACCACCAGACTGAACCGTTGATACAAGGCAGGATGGATCCATGTTGTTTACGGCAAATTCTGACGCAGCACAAATCGAGACTCATCAGACCAGGCAACATCTTTCCAATCTTCTATTGTCCAATTATAGTGAGCCTGAGCAAATTGTAGCCTCAGTTTCCTGTTCCTAGCTGACAGGAGTGGCCCCCGGTGTGGTCTTCTCTGCTGTAGCCCCTCTGCTTCAAGTTTCCACGTGTTGTGTGTTCAGAGATGGTCCTCTGCATACCTTGGTTCTAACTAGTGGTTATTTGGGCTACTGTTACCTTTCTATCTTCTTGAACCAGTCTGGCCATTCTCCTCTGACCTCTGGCATCAACAAGGCATTTCGCCCAGAGAACTGCCGCTCTCTGGATATTTTCTCTTTTTCGGACCATTGTCTGTGAACCCGAGGTTTGTGCGGTTGTGCGTGAAAATCCCAGTCAATCAGCGGTTTCTGAAATACTCCAACCATGCCACGCTCAAAGTCACTTAAATCACCTTTCTTCCCCATTCTGATCACCTTTTTACAACCAATAAAAACAACCAAGGTGAGTCAGGAATAAGCACCTAAATAAAACAGTGTTTCACAGCACTGCAAAACTGTATTTCAAATGTGTCATGGACATTGAAGACACCTCAGCTTTTCTGCCCAGGGGGTGTCATTAGTTTTGCAGGTGTGGGGAACAAATGCATGGTGGTGATGTTTGCCCAAATGGAAAGTTGAGGACAATGGTTACCTTTAGCAAACTGCAAGGCAATCCATCAAAAACACTTTTGTGACAATTAACTGAAAAACAGAAATGGTCTACTATAGAGACAAAAAAAGGCGGCAGTTTCCTCATCGCTCCACAGAGATCTGATGGAATACCTTGGAATACTGTATATAACAAGCCAATACTTGAATCATCAATTCATTTCAAGGTAAGTGCAGAAAAAGGGAGGCAACGTTGTTACTCCAAAACACTTTGCCACCTCCTGAACACTAGCTGTCAAAAACAGTCCCTGGACCATCCCAGGGCAGCCTTTAGCTGTGATGGATTGAAGTGACATGAAGGGAGTACATGTTCAAATGCAACCACACACTCCTTCTCCATTTTCCTGTTTTTTCTGGCAACATCCATTTGTGAAAGAGCCCTGGCTGTCAAGCCTTCATTCAGAGCCAGAGTCCATGGAGGAGGGGCTCACAGGTTCACTGGCTGCACCTGGGCACACCTGGAGTTTCTGGCCCCTTTCTTCATGGGTCTTTGTGTATCGTTGCAGTATTTAGATTACCGAATTGTCCACCAGCAACAGAGATTGGTGGTTTTAAAATGTAAAAAACGCAGATGAAAGCTGATATTTGTGCTCTCAAAGGCCGTCATTACTGCATTATTCCTACATTAGATTATTCACACCTGTCAGGCTCCAACCAGTATTTTTGCAAGAGTTTATGAGAAACGTTGGGCCCCTCTTACCACAAAGTGATTTGGCAAAGACTGTCCCAGTGTTTGTGTGTGTGCTTACACTGTAAGCCCTTTGACAAGCATTGACAGACACACACACCTTCCTTGACAAGCCACCGCTGTACTTTTCTCACCCCAACAAGAGAATCCAGGCTTGAATGAGGATTGGATTACAAAGGCTTTTAGCCCTGTAAAGTCTTTTCCTGGCCACAATCTCTGGACCCGAGGATCCACTTTCCCTTTGGAGCGGCCCCAGGGTTATGATTAGAGCCGGGGAAGGACGAGATTGGGTTGCTGGCTGCCCTTGTCTGCCGTGTGGTTGAATGACCCTCTGGGTATTGTGATCCATAATGTAGTGGTGAGCACCAGCACACTTCTTTTGTGGGTTGTAAGTCAATACAGTTGAGTGATGTGTGTGTAGTTGACGGTGCCGCGGTGTTTAATGTGCGTAATCGTTTTTACAGAACGTCCCGTGGAGAACATTTTCTTTTCAGACCCTGTCACTGCACCAATATAAAATGAAAGGGTTAGTTCACCCAAGTGCTAAAAAAACAAAAACACAAGAAAAAACAAACTGTACTTCCAAACAGCCCAAAATAAATGATGTTATCCTCTTTTTTTTTAGCTATATGCTTTAGAATAAATATACTTACCAAAAGAAAAGTACACCAGACTCCTTAGAGTGTCTTTTAGTACAACGGTGAACAAAGCTTTGGTAGTGATGCAGTTGTAGTGACCTCTTCTATCACCATAGCCACACTCTAAACTTGCATACCCAGCATTATTATCTATATGACTCCAAATGATCTACAAAATAAACATTATGCTGTAATGAAAAAGACTTGAAATAAATCAATGAGACCATAAAGTCATCAGGAAAATGTTTCATGGGGTATTTAATCAAGTTAGATGTAGGGTCATTTTCTCATAGACTTCTATACCATTAGACTCCTTTTTGCAATTGGTGAAATGGCCTCTTGCTATTCAATACAAAGTTGCCAGTTTAAGGCACTTACAAATTGGCATCACTTTTCAGAGCCGGAGTTTGCCTGCTTCTAATAGACTCTTTTGCAGGAACCCCCTTCAGTTTATATATAAACTGTATTTGGGGGAACAAAGGGGGATTCACGTCATAAAGAGCTACAGAGGAGAGATTCCCCCTTTCAGATCAGACATTTAAAATAAACTAACCAAGTTATTATTAGTCATTTAGGAGCTGGTATCAGGTGTTGATTTTGTGTTTCAGTGTGGAGCTCCACTGTGCTGCCCTGACGCTGGTCTCTCGACTTGTGGTACAACTGGTGAGCTCTAACCCTCAGGTAAAGACGGACTGTACTCGTAATCTCTCACCTGTTAAAGATAAATGTATAGCAGCCTTTGCTTCATATCACAATTCACAAATGCACTGGAAAAAGATGTCGGTTATTACCTCAGTCCAATGCTGTTTTGTGTGGACTGTTTCTGCTAGCTTAACATACGATGTAATGACTCTACTACAAGACATTTCATGGATACTCTTCTATGCAACTGAAGTGACATTAGTTAATGAACTGATTAATAAGAATTCCTCTGTAAACTTTAATTAAATGCTTTATTTAATTCATTTGTCATCTAGGGTGCAAGTGCAGTGGCTTGTTTAGGTCAATGGGGGGCGCTGGTGTGCGCATGCTGCAGCGAGGAGCAGCCAGTGGAGGTGAAGCTAATGGCCGCCAAGGTGTTGGTCAACTGTACGGCCACTGTGCTGACCAGCTCCCATCTGCCCCTTGGTGAGTCTCAAAATGTGAACCACGTGGTGAGATATTTACCTCAGTCAGGCAAGATGTATACTGCAATTTTAAAAGGATAAAGTAAAAAATATGTTCATACATTTTATTTGTTGAACCCTTATAAAGGCAAATAATAGATTTTGTGGATCTGCAATGCAATTTTACATCTGTGTGTGTGTGTGGGTGTGTGTCAGGTCTGACCACAACAGTTTCTCTGTGGAGGAGTCTGTTCACGCTGCTGCAGGATGAAGACGAGGATGTCCGAGATTCTGCCTGTGACTTCATCTGTAATGTACCAGCATCTCTGCTCAGCACAGGTACACACACACACACACACACACACACACACACACACACACACACACACACACACACACACACACACACACACACACACACACACACACACACACACACACACACACACAGTCACAATTATTACACATTAATATACAACCATGGTGTACATATGTTACTTGTGATTTGCGCGATCACCCACTTAGTTTCAAACGCATTCCAAAGCAGTGTAAGACAACAGTGGTAATTACTGAAATGTATACACACACACATATATAAACAGACACACGCACACATCAGAGTTTCCGTTAGCCGGTAATTACCGGACTATGACCGGTAAAATATGCTGAAGACCGGCAAATCTAAATCTCTCCGGTCAAAATGTCCGGTCAAAATCATTTCCCCTTAGCGCAATACCGCATCAGTTGCGCCACTTATGTGACAGACAATAATAGTATGTGACAGACAAAAGAGTATGTGACAGACAAGAATAGTCAATTCTAATGTCTAACATTTAATGTGGAGAAAGAGATGTCCTGTATGGGTTGATTGTGCGTTGATCTGTTGGCAATGCCTCGGGGTTCCGGTGGGCATGTAAACAAATGCATAATGCTGCGCTATACTTTACGGCCTCACCCGGTTGCATAGCAACGCTTATTGTTGAGGTGTCTTTTAATAAGCAGGTAGTCATATCATTAGCTAGAACTAGCTAGATCTGATCGATATGGACATAAACACGAGTGAAGTCTAATCTGACGGGAGAGAGAGATCAGCTGCTGCTGACGAGTTGACACGCAGCTCTGCATGATCACCTGCAGCGGTGAGCGGAACAAAACACACACTTCTGGTTAGAAAATCACACTTAGCTATTTTAATTACCTCTCAAACTACCTAAACTAGTTATAGATATGTTTATTTTTACTGTTGGGTCACTCATTACTAGATCCGCGAGCTGCATGAGACGGATACTGACGGGCTGTCAGGAGAGAGCGCTCCGTTTATTATTCCCGTGTTGTTATAAATTACTGTACACTTTTGAATAATGTAGTTAATCTACTATAATTAATTTGTTTAATATCGAATCATATCAATTTGTTTTAAAGTTCAATACATAACAAAGAAGACCTTTTGACCGGAAGATTTAAACTTAAACGGACATGTTGACCGGCAAAAAAAGATTCTAACGGAAACTCTGGCACACATAACAACACCACAAACGCATGTTGATGTTAAAAAGGGTTGATGATATCACTTCGTGCTAAGGGTTGGGGAGCATTCCCGGAATGAAGGGCGCTAATTGTAATTGGGACACAAGAGTGAAAAGTGTGCGTGTGCGGGCGGTTATGTGTCATTGTTAAGTGAGGTCTATTTTTTGAGGATTGTATGAAAGCAGGAATTCAGATTCACTCACAAATCCCTCATGTATTCAGACTGATGACAGTTTTATCCCCAAGGTAGCACCCTTACAATACTACCTCTTGCACACGTTGAGACAGGTTTATCAGATTATCGATACAATTCTTAAGAATTTGAGGCCCTGTTATGCTCATTTTCAGATTCATATTTGTATTTTTGTGCCTCGACTGGCACGTTTCTCCATGATTCAATGTTCAAAAAGCTCTTTATTTTTCTCATACTGTCTGTGCTGCAGCACCTCTTTTCACCCTCGGTCTGAAACCAGAGCCCAGTCTGCTCTGATTGGTTTGCTGGCCGGCTCTGTTGTGATTGGTCAACCGCTATGAGATGTCTCGCCCCTTAGCCTATCACGTACAATGTGTTAAAGCACTAGCCAATAGAAGCACAGGTGTTACATGGTGATGTCATTTTGTTACAGAGGTAAACAAAGGAGTCCAATGGAGGCGTTTCAGGCAGGGGGGGGGGGAGTGTGTGGGAGAGAAACTCCCTCTGAAGGGAACTTTGGGATTTTAGCCTCTGCAGACCATTTACATGCACAAAAACCTATATAACAATACAGGAAAGGGAAGACCCCAAAAAGCATAATAGGGCCCCTTTAATATAGTGCTATGGCAGGTTAAAATACGCCGAGTTTTTCTTTGCTCGTCTTTATTTACAGATTTACGATTGGGTTTATCGTCAAGTAACAGAAAGTAATAACACACTTTATTATTGTGATACGGTTACTCCTTACATTTTCAAGTAACCCTCCGAGCCCTGCTATCAGAGGACTGACAGCTGCCAGCTCTCTAGTGGCCCTCACAAACAACCACAGTGCGACTTCCTGTCCTCACAACACACACTTCCTGTATTTTCCCAGCTTTCCTCCACGGAGCCACCCTTATTGTGTCTGTCGCCACTGATAGGATCTCATAACATAACACAAGGCAGCAAAACACCTCCTCAAAAGTCTCCGCAGCCCCTTTTGAATGGGAGGGCAGAGTCATGGGGGAAGACTCAACTCCGGTGAAAATAGACATGTTTACTGTCCATTTAGAGAGAAATCCAACCTTTTCCTGTAAAGGCAGAGAATGTCTCACTATCTCAAGGCCTAGGAAACGCATTTAAACATTCCTTAAAGTGTTTTGATACAAGGATTTTATCCAAAAAGCTGTGTGTATGTATGTATCTATATGTGTACATAAGCACATAAGGCCAGACAGGGCTGATAAGCTGTCAGCAGATTGGAGCTCAACAACATGACTAAGACGTGGAGGTTTTCTTTACAACAGGAAGAGAACACAATAGGCATACATGCAGAGTGGGTGTCCTGTGTGTGTATGTGTGTGGAGAAAAGAGGTCCTTCTTTGTCAATACACATTTATTACTCATTTGGAGTTTACAGACTTTGTATTTTACTTACAGTAATCTGGCACACATTCCCTCCTGGACACTCGTTTTATTCCTGTGTGTGACTTCCCTCTCCAGGCCACGCCACTCCGCTTTCGCTGAAACTCATGAAAACTGTCTTGCAAATTCCTGTTTTATTTGGACACTTGTCGTACGCACAGCAGGAATGTAGCGCACGAAACAAAAAGAAATGAGACGGTAAATTGGTCCGCTTGTTTCAAATGAATGAGCCACTTGGCCGGGAGAGTTGAATTCCTGATGTAAATGAAAAACAACAGAAAAACCCAAAATAAATCACATCCCAGCGACTGTAAAAACAACATCACCCTTCAATTAAAATAAATATGTCATCTTTCTACTTCAGTGCTTCAACTTAAGTGATGTTGCTAAAATTAAATACACGACAGTAAGCTGCTGAGACATTTTGGTACTCGGAGAGCTTTTAATGAAGTCATCAGGATTGCATTACTGCTATCACGAGGCAGACATAGTGTTTGTCAATGTGTTCATAAGTTAGAGGTTTTATTTATTTTTAAATGTTCATACATTTGTAATGCTGTCAGCACCCAAATGAAGTGCTGGTCAAATTTCAGAGAACATTTTCATGATCTCTAAAATAAAATGAAATCATAGATCGTAAAGAAAAACTCACAATAAATTGATCATGGTGAATTCCATTTTTGAGATTGAGTGACTTAAAAAAAGCTGTCTTGCTTGCTGTCATGTTAGAGTAGTGTCAAAATAAGAGTAATTATTTTTATTTGAATGTATTTATCATTTTTTCTGCAAGGGGCCATTATAATGTGTAACCTCATTTAGGGTTGTGTAATTGATTGTTTTTCACTGAGAAGTATTTGTGAGAAAAAAAAAGTTTGTCCGAAAAGATATTTCCTAACTTATACATACTGGAATCCCTGAAATGTAGTTAAGGCTGCACAAAAAAAAAACACAGTAAGCACAACATGTAGTAAATATGTGTTAAAATATCATTATGAATGAAGTATTGCGGAGCTGCAGAGGTATCCTGGTCTAGAAATAGCATCTTACAGACTCAATAACA